CGTGTCGTCGTCGGTCGTCTGTGTGTGTGTGTGTGTGTGTGTGTGTGTGTGTGTGTGTGTGTGTGTGTGTAATTGTCTAATAATAAATAGTTGATTAGAAATATGATTCAAAATTATAATATATGTATAGTTTTCTAGATATGTTATTTTTTTAATTGACAAATTTTCATTTTTATTCGCTTTGGAACTGATTTTTCTAGACATAATAAGAGTATGTAGATAAGATTGAATAAAAGAATAATATCTTTGTTCTCTGATAAAATAAAAAAATAGAACTTACCTGCAAAGTATAAACACAAACATGAGTTACACTCCGAAATTATTACAAATTGTCAAACTCGCCGCGAACGTCAACATCGTTGGCCATCACTCGGACGTGCAGAAAAAGAATAATAGTAGTATGCAATTTATTAATACTGCTAATATTTCCTTTTTAATTTTAATTTAATTTTAATTTACGCGTATTTATTATTATATTGATATCCGAGAGTTCTAACCAAAAACACTACCGTGTTTACATCAATCAATTTTATCGACCCAGCGGATAAATCAGGCCGATAAATCAAGGTCACTGCAGGACCCAGCGAATATTGATTCGCTAGATTCTATAATAACCCTGACTTCAGTCTGATAATTCGCTGGGTCGATAAGATTAATAATGACATCTCGTGACAGACGTTGCAGTCGTACAAAGGCGACGATAATGACGTTTCTTAAAGTAAAAATTTCCAAATCGAACTTTGTGTAGCAATATCTCTGCTTGTAGGGCACGTAGCAGAAAAATAAAAATACTTTTATTATGCAAGTCGGACTCAAGCTATCGATCAAGCCTACTTAGAACTTGATCAGTATAGTCGTTATTGAGATTCGATAATTTCAGATGCTCGAATCTCGACGACTCGCGTAAAGTCACACGGCAGTGTTCTCGGTTGACTTGACACCCGAGACACTACCGTGTCTCCTGATCTTATTTAATCGTCGTCTATTAATATTTTTTATATTTTTATATACTAGCTTCGTTAAATTCTTCGTCAGTCTCCATTTCGAAATCTCGCGTTCACATATCCAATGGACATATATCCCATAGATGGAAAAATCAAACTATCGGCGATCATAGCCAGATAAGAAGAAATATTGGTGAAGGGGAAATATCTGGATTTCTCAAAGAAAAAAAAATCATATTGTTCATATTGTATTATTTATTTCCTCAGGATTGATCAAATTTTTATAGCACATTAATTTCAATCTTTTCCAAATAGTTGGTAGCCATGTACTTGATACACAACAGTGATGCCAGAATGCCCACGCTAGCAGCACGCAACCGTAGTGGAGAGGATGACGCACACAAATGCAAGCGCGTACGTGTGAGCTACGTACTACTCAATATCGTTTTTTTATTATACGCCCTTTTTTTTACAATTTTTTTAGAATCCCATATATTGCAGCACCACGTCGTCTAATTTGTTCTGTTATTATTTGCAAGGCCGCATTACCGTATATTTCCGCTAGATGCTCGTCACACAAATTTATATTGCTCTCCATTCCAAGTACCAAACTGAAAATTATATAAATCGGTTGTTGCTAGCGTTCTGGCATCACTGCACACAAGCCGCAACTCAGCTTTTAAATTATGTATACTTGTGTAATGTTGTGTCATTGTTATATAAATATGGAAATATAGATGGAAAAAACCGTGCTAGGAGTTAAAACGTTTTATTAATCCTTAAAATATCAATTAAGTACTTTATCTGTACACTCCTAGATATCGGTACTCGTGTCGAACTATTCTTTTTATTTATTTAAAGTAATTTAAAAATCTCAAAAGATTCATGAAATATACTTTCCTAAAATAAATGTTTTCATTCTGAAAAAAATATAATATAAATTATCAAAGATTAATCAAGAATCGGATAAAAATATTTTATTATTAAAAATTATAA